AACATGAGTGAAACTCAGTCTCAAAAAAAAAAAAAAAAAAGTCCATGGAAACCTCTGCCATGACCCCTCCTGCCCCTGAGCTTTCTCAGAGGACCCTGGCATCCAAAATTCCCAGCCATGTAATTAGGCAGACAGACTTCATGGTGGAGCTGCTTCCCGCCCCTGGAAGTAGCTTTGCTGGTATCGCCACTGCTTCCTCGTCAGACTCTGGACAGCTCCTTGGGCAGCGGTCAACACCCGGCTCAAGAAAGACCAGGGAGCCGCTGGTCCCTCCATTCTCAGGACACAAAAGTCCAAAGTTAAAGTCATGGTCCGAAGACCACACCACCCATGACTACAGCCTCGCCCTCTGTCTACACTGCAGGGTACCCACTACGCTGTGAAGTCTGTAAGGCAGCCGGGAGCAGCTGCCATGGCAAAATGAAGACCTGCAGGAGCAACCAGAACTCGTGCGTGATCCTGGTGGGGAAGGCTAATTCAAGTAAGGGGCCGGGACCTGGGACGTGGTGGGGAGATGGGGTGTACCTTCAGGGTGGAAGATACTACCACACAGAGGGGGGATCATCACGGTTCTCAGGATGGGGGAGCATGGGAAGAAATCAGTGGAGAGCAGGAAAGAGGGAAAGACCATCATGAGATGGAGAGAAGAGAAATAAATGGTGCGATAGCAATCATTATTGTCACAGGATTCTGAAAATGAGACTGTTCTAAAGAGAAGGAAAATGGGGGAGGGGTGAGAGTTCACAGACTTTCTTAGGCAGAAGAGGAGTAAGGAAAGACATGAGAAGGAACAGAGAACTAGTGAGATGGGAAGAATCTAACAGGCAGGAGGTGGAAATGGTGGGGAGCGGATAGCGAAGGAAGAGGCTGGGCTGGGGTGGGAGAATGTAAGTGTAATCGGGGAAGAGATCATTCCTGACTGAGGGAGGAGAGATGATGCTGGACTGTTGGAGTAGTGGGAGAGACAGAAAAGGGACCACCCAAACAGGAGAGGGACAATAACCCTGAAGTATGGAGAAAATCATCTGTCACCCAGGATGGAGTGCAGTGGCACGATCTCTGCTCACTGCAACCTCCACCTCCCGGGTTCAAGCGGTTCTCCTGCCTCAGCCTCTGGAGTAGCTGGAATTACAGGTGTGTGCCACCATGCCTGGCTGATTTTTGTATTTTTAGTAGAGACAGGGTTTCACCATGTTGGCCGGGCGGGTCTCAAACTCCTGACCTCAAGTGATCCTCCCATCTCAGCCTCCCAAAGTGCTGGGATTACAGGCATGAGCCACCGTACTCTACTGAGCAAATCATTTTAAAGAGGAGAAGCAGACAGGGAAGGGGAGATGTGGATGAGTAAAATGAAAGGGAGGCCAGGTGCAGTGGTTTACACCTGTAATCCCAGCACTGTGGGAGGCCGAGGTGGGAGGATCGCTTGAACCCAGGAGTTTGAGATCAGCCTGAACAACAAAGAGACCCCATCTCTACAGAAAAAAAAAAAAAAAAATTAGTAGGACATGGTGGCACATGCTTGTAGTCCCAGCCACTTGGGAGGCTGAGGCAGGAGGATCACTTGAGCTTGGAGATAGAGGCTGCAGTAAGCTACGTGCACGTCACTGCATTCCAGCCTGGGCGACAGAGGGAAATCCTGTCTCAGAAAATAAAATGAAAGACAGAAGACGGGCATGAGTTAAATGAAAGAGACCACCCCAGACCTGAAAAAGGATGGAGGAGAAAGGGGGCAGTGGAAGAGACCACTGGGGGACAGGGATGTTTATGCAAAGCTGAAAGAAACCTTTAGTCACGAGAGGAGAGATGATGGGGCCTAGTGAGGAAATGAAGGCTGTGGCAGATGAAGGGCAACTTTGGGTGCAGGAAGAAACCACTGGTCGGGAGGGGCTGAGAAAGGAAAGTGGGTTAGAAAGGAAAGCGGAATAGAAGATCCCCCAGCCAGCGTTGATGTGTTAGGCAAGGACCTGAAAGGCTTGAAGAGACCCCCTCACCCCGACACAGAAGAGGAAATGCACCCTGGGGAAGGGAAGAGAGAGAGCTGGGGGACCCTTCGATGGGGTCAAGGGGGAACCTGTGAATTGGGTAGGAAGAGACCACCACATGGTGGAGAGGGGGAAGGCCGGGGAGACTGGAAGAACTCACCTTAAACAAGACCTGAAAATAGCCAAGAGGGACTGCAAGGGACTCTCGATGGGAGGTCTGAGGAGTGACCATGGCAGGATCTGAGAGAGAACGGTGAGTGTTGATGGGACTGGGGTTCGTTGGAAGAGACCCCCGGGGTGGACGGGGAGTTGTGAAGGCTGGAAGAGACTATTTCACGCAGGCATGGGGGTGGCCATAGGCGGCCTAAAATAGAGCAATCCCGGCAGGACAGGGAGAGAGGGATAGCCGTGGGTGGGGTGGGGTGGAAGGGACCACGTCAGACAGGCTGAGGTTGGCAATGGGGAGCTGGAAGAGACCACCAAACGCCGACCAGGGGCTATGGCAGCGGGAGGAAGGGCGATCTAAGAAACCACCCCAGGCCATGCACCAGACAGATTAGGCGGCTTGCCTCTAGCTGGCTTGGAAGAGACCGCCGGCTGAGCGGTAGCGGTGGCTCACGCCTGTAAACCCAGCACTTTGGGAGGTCGAGTGGGGGCCCGATCACCTGAGCTCAGGAGTTCGAGACCATCCTGGTCAACATGGTGAAACCCCGTCTCTACTAAAAATACAAAAAATTAGCTGGGCATGATAGTGCGTGCCTATAATCCCAACTACTCAGGAGGCTGAGGCAGGAGAATTGCCTGAACCCAGGAGGCGGAGGTTGCGGTGAGCCGAGATCG